AGAAATGGTTACTATTCACACACCAATATTTTAATCGTTCCATTTTTGAAGTCTGTGATCGTTGAGTCTCTGTCAAACTGGATCTATCCCTCCGTGGAGAGGAGCGCATGAATATCCATTTCGCATCAACTGGGCAACAATGTCGTCGGCCTAAAGCATGTTTCAGAAACTTATTTGATTATTAACTGGGCTCAGAGAAAGCATCTGGTCAAGCTTATGAACAACAATTTACAAAAACCCCTCGCAAAATCGTACCTTTTCTTGTTTGTCGACAAACACAAGCACATTCCCTTCTTCGTAGTACATTCCTAGCAGCTCGAGGAGTTTCAGTAATTTCTGGTGCTCTTCACAGATCACGGCATTTTGCGTCACATCAGCACAAACAACACTCTTGCCGCCAACCTAGACAGAAACTTATAGTAGGAATACCAAAGCGAAGTCATTTCACGCCCACCTGTATTTCGATTGGTTTGTCGAGTATTTTCCTTGCGAGCGCTTCCATCTGGCGTGGGAACGTAGCTGAAAACAAGACGCTCTGTCGATCTGGACGAATGTTGTTGATGATTTTCATAACCTGTTAAAAAATGCAGAACGTTCTTAGTAACTTATTTTCCCAGTGATTTTCAGCAAATGCATACTGGTATAATAACCAACTCCTACCTGTGGCTCAAAACCCATGTCAAACATGCGATCAGCTTCGTCGAGTACGAGATAGGTGACTCGCCGCAGATTCGTCACTTTTCCTTCAACACCCATCATTATCCTTCTCGCAGAAAAATTGATATACATATTTTAATAGGGATTTAATACACGTACTAATAAAGTAAGCATGGCAGGGGGAAATGAAACTTGAGAAAAACTTGAGATTTTCGGTAGTGTTTCGCTGCAAGCATATCAATATAGTCTCTCCAAGGAGCTAGACACAATCACTATCTCTGCGGCCTGCTTAGCAGGTCTGGATTTGTTGGATTTCCTAACACCATATAAACATACAACGAACTATGCGAGACCGCAATAAGATTCTTGCTGTGAATTCTGGTATAACCCCTTGAACAATTGGCCATACGCTTCGCAAACTATATTCGCATTCTTCAGTTTGCATGACCAACTCACGGGTCTGAGAGATTCATTGATAGGTGCGAAAATGAAGGGTTACAAACAGTGAATTTTAAAAGACTTTAGTTTCACAAACATCGCCCCCCCTGCCCCCTTATTGCGCCGTGACAGCCCGTCGACCCGGGGCAGTCAGCGGCGTGGTTCGTTTGTCTTTCTTCTTGGGTTTAGCTATAGGACATACGAGACTCTTCCATCCCCCCCACCCCCTCTTCCAACTCTGGTTGATCCAAAATATGGCGGAACATAGGAATGAGGAATGCGAGCGTTTTCCCCGATCCTGTTTTAGCGATACCAATGAGGTCACGACCAGCCATTATGCACGGAATTGCTTGAGCTTGAATGGGTGTCGGCTTCGTGTAATTAAGTCTATAAAAATTATGTCAAAATTAGAACGAACTTGCTAGTTATAAGAGGATAGAAAGAAGAGTATTCTGCTTACCGTTTCAACTGTTGAAGAATTTTGAATTCGACGCCACACTGGGCCCATGTTCTGATAGGCTTGGGACACCTATTCCCTTTCACCTCGATGCCGTCCAACTCTTCTCGGTACGCCTTCACCTCCTCCTTTGTCATCTTGGCGATTTCTGGTGTCTGCAAAAACAGTTTTATTTCACCAACAAATCCAGTTGGTAGTGGATCTAAAGTGAATGATGCCAGCAAATTCTAGCAGAAAGTGCACATATCGAATCACCTCGGATCTACTATTATACAACGGCATATGGATTTGCAGTGTTCGCGCGAAATACAGTACGAACAAGTTGTAGCGAAAATTGTTACAGAATGTATTTGCTTTCTTGACAGAAATGAATCCCTTGATCCAGCAGTCGCTTCATTTGTTAGGAAGGAGTGTTCCAAACGAAACGACAGAAAACGGTGCAGTTTTATGTTTTGGGTAGCTGTTGCGAAGCACATAGCCAAATTTGGAACGAGAAAAGTTGGTTTAAAGTCTGTAAGAGTTTGATTCGAAAAATGAGCGGCTGTATTTCCAAAGATAGTCAAAACCTTAGGGCGCAAAAACTGTACCTGCACAGACTATGGTAATTTCCCCCGACTCCACCACTTTCGTTACACTTTGTGGCGCGGCCGCGGTGAGATGTACGAGTCCGCAGTGCCCGCGAACTGTGGTGGTATGCGTTTTCAAATTTACCCACACAGTTCGCGGGCACTATCGACTCGGCCGCGCCCCAAGTGTGAAAAAAGTGGGGGAGCCATTCCCCCAATCAAGAAGAATCGGTTGTGCGTTGGAAAAAAATTCACGGTATTGAAAAAGACCATTCATGTTCGCATTAAAATCCACCTTCACAAGTTATGAGACTCCACTTGGTTTATAATATAAGCGCAATGAGCACAAAAACTCAGCCAAGGCAGCAAAAAAAGCAAAAACCCTGAAGACTCTCGATCGCTAACGGATACGAAAATGAATAATTATACCAAAATATAGGTGGTGATGAAAGACCATACCTCCACGTAGAAATCTTTCCTGAAAGGACGGTAGTACACTTTTGAATGATCCGTTGCTGGAAGCATACGTCCTTTGTGACACAGACTTGCTGCCGCCTAAAAAATCCAGTGGGTCAATATCTGTAAAAAAAAGAGTAATAAGATGTTCGACGCAATGTGGCTCGGGGGGGGGGGCACCACGGAACATCGCGTCAAGATCACGGAAAAGCTCAGTTTCAGGACTAAGCTTTGAAGAGGGGAGGAACTCCGGTGTGCGGAAGCAATTTTCGTATTCTCCGGAGTTCGTCCCTGCTGCCTAGGCTTAGTCCTAGATGACCTTTTTACAGAGTGCCCCCCCCCCCGAGCCACATTGCGCCACATTTTCATATAAGGAAAACGCATAGATAAACAGAAACAGACTTGTTCCATATCAATATCTTCAACAACAAAATCGGATCTGTCCTCGTTTTCCAACACCAGTCCTTTCTCTTTTTCTTTGGTAGTGCTTATATTCACAACTCTAACACCTCCCTGAAAAATATTATTTGATTTTATGACCTAAGGAATCAAGAGGAGAGTAAGAAGTGAAAGTTGAGAAATTAAAAGACAGTAACCATAAACAAACCAACCGAAGGTCTATCCTTCTGCATGTTCTTTCTTAGGCCGCTCATGAACGCATCAAGGGGATCCTCCTCATCGTCGTCGACTGGAGCAGCACTTCTAAAACGAAAACTTTTTTAATCGTTATATTTCGTTCACTTTAATAGGAACAGCA